TTTATGTTATGAAATTCTGTGCTTTGAATAAAACTCATCGGCCCGTTGAAAGTGCTAAATTACCTAATGTGGCCCGCGGTTCAAAAAGTTTGGAGACCCCTGGGATAGACAAATGAAATGGATGGGAAAGGATGTGGGAGAAGGGAGGGAATAAGATAAAGGTATGGAATGAATGGAGGAATGGAAAACAGGTGTGAGGAAACTCTTTTAACATAAGTGGGGTGAGAGGAGTAACAATGAGGCAGAAAAACAAATTGGAAAGGAAAGCAATTGAGGAGAAAGAAGGAAAGGAGATAAAGATACAAAAGGGGTAAAAGTGAGCAAAGAGAAGGGGGCAATATCTTCAGTTATCAACAGGTTTACTAAATAAGATTTTAGGTTCTCACAGCAATGACTATGAAGAATACCATCTTCTGGGATGTGGTGCCGTGTAGATCTTGTGTAAACCGACATTTCAGGGGAACATATCACCTCTGTCTTCAGGGTAGAAGTGATGGAAGCAATGCATTCCTCTGAAACGTCGATTTACACAAGATCGACATGGTGCCACATCCCAAAAGACAACATTCTTCAAGTTTACTAGAGTTTAAAGGAAGAATATTCACAGGACAGACAAGTAACTCACCCAAAGCAGTCAACCAACAGCATCGTACCCTGACCTTTCACAATTTCAGCAGCTTCTTTAAATATTTTCACAATATTTGACGCCTGTTTCTGTGAAATGACATAACACACCAGAACATTATTCTTAGTGCGAAGGATCTTCTTGAAGTCTTTTATGTCTGTCAACTCTTCAATAGTAGTTTTCTGAGCATTTTGTTTGGCCTGGAAATGTTGTATTCCACAAACAAGAATCTGTAAAAACAGAATAAACTGAACATTAAAGGAAGAAAGAAAGGGTTGTTATGTAAGAGGATCATCTGGAGAACAATGAAAGATTATTTGGGGACATAAGTTAGCGGGTTCAAGTGCTGATGAGGTGGATTTTTATTCCTTCCAGCTGCACTATGGCCCCGGGGTCACCTCAGTCTCTAACAGAAATGAGTACCAGGATTCTTCCTGGGGAGTAAAGGGTGGCCACCATGTGGGGCTGACAACCTTACCGCCATCTGTGAGCCGATTGGCTAGAGAAAATGTGGGAGCCCCAGCATCTCACAACCCAATGGGCCTTCACAGCCTGTTACTGGGATAGCTTTACCTTTGTTTTTTAACCTATGAAAGGTTATTTAGAGACTACTGTTGTTGTGCCCGGATAGGGGGCAGTGACTGTACTCAACCCCTATCGGACGTCCGTGGATATCACTTAACCTATGCTGTGGAAAACATGCTTCACTAGGAGGGTCACAAAAACTCGAGTTCTCCAAACAACAACAAAAATGGAATATATAATCAAATTAAAACACTTATACACCTCTAAATTCTAAAAACACATTAATCCACCAAAATAATTGAAACCAGAAGTTCTAATAAGCCATCAGTGACCCGACCACGGGCAAGTACTCACTCGCGCTACACATGATGCACATGAAAAACACTGGCGCCATCCCAAGGTTTTCCACAGGCACACTTTGCTTTACTTGTTTGTTTCTGGCAACTGCTAGAAACAGAGTGCCTGAAACGGCCTGTTTTCCCAATTCCAAGATTCAACTTTTTCCCAAGTTGCGAAAGCTGCGCGTGCGAAATCCCTGAGGTCGGCATCTTGCCGGACATGCCTTGTCGCGCACAGCAAAACCTGACCGGCTCTTTCCACTGATGCTTAAACAGTCTTTTCTAAAGACAATTCGATCGACTGCCAAGGAATGCGAAGAGTCAGCCGCGGTTGTCTGCTCGCCTTCCGGCCAGCCATCTAACATTTTAACCTAAGCACACAATCTTTCAAAAACTATACTTAATAACTAATGAAATGGGCTCAACAATATTTTGGTTTATTGGAAGTGTTAAAACTAATTTTTACTGTAGGCCTAATATTGTGATACTTTAATTGAGTAAAAAAACTGCTAAATAGTATGTAGAAAAACACAAAATAAACTGAATAAAACGTCAAACATACCATGACTTCTATTGTGATAAAAAAAAAACCAGGCTGGGGCCCTGAGAGTATTTTCTCTTCTAAGGGGGGGCTCAGAGGTAAAAAGTTTGAGAACTACTGGATTAGTGAATGCTAAATTGGAGATGATGTGGAAGGAAGAGCCCTACACCAATATTTACCTGGAGGCATTGAGAAAAGACACAAAAATCTCATTCAGATAGTCTCTTGGCTGATATTTGAGCCATGGACTTTTTGATTATGAAGGACGAGTGATAACCACTCAACAACAAAGATATGAATATTGGAGGGGCTAAGGAGCAGAAGTTCTGAATTAATGCAGTCCTTTGAAATAGACAGCATAGACCGTCACACACAGTCATACTTAGTTATGATTTCATCTAAGGGTTCAGAGAAATTGTGTTCTTACAAACGAGCGTCATACTAACTGATGAAGGGAGGAAACTGGGTTTCAAGAAGAAACATCTCTGATCATTTTATGCGGCACAAAAATTCACTTTAAATGTAAACTACATCTTATGGTATATACAAAAATTGTAACTTAAAAATATGTAAACATTTCTTGAAAATTTAATGTATTAAAATAACTGATGCTACAGAATTGATACACTGTGCATAATAAAACTAAAGACTTATAAAGATTTAGACAAACATATATATTATTTTATTCTGCTTTCATTTTCATTTTCATGCAAAGAAGTGGGGTGAGAAGACGGTACCAGATGTAGTTATAAACAAACACATGTCCTGAGGGAAGCAGAAAAACATGTTATATGAAGATTTAATTAGTACCTATACCGAAGGTGTCGCTACAACCGAGGTCACTATAACCAAGTTTGGGTGAATTATGTTTTAGTGAGCATTGCATGGTGGTACACAAGCTGCTGCACCTCACAATTGCTGGTTCCAATTGTTGCAAAAACCTACAGAGTAGAGATGTGTGTATTTTTGTTAGAAAAGACCAATGTTTCAACAAAATTGATATTTCTCACCACTGTAAAGAAATTTAGAAATCTGTGCAAATTCAACTGGAAACTAAAACAGCTAATCTAATTATATCAAGCATCTGCAGAGCTCCCTCAGGGGATTTCAATCAATTTTTTAAAGACTACATGCAATCATTGTACAATCCAAAATCTGAGTTTATTCTCTGTGGGGAACTCAACAATAACTATATCAGTGATAATAACTGAAAAATAAACAAACACTGCAGTAGCAGGAAACACCCAGCACAATGAAAAACATGAATGTGTCATGGGACTACTACACACAACACAGGAAGAAACACACAGCATGAAGAAAAGCACGAATGCATCATGGGACTACCACACGCAATGCAGGGGGAAACACCCAGCACAACAAAAAACATGAATGTGTGACAGGGCTACACATCGAATATATTAGAAGTGCAAAATGCAAGCATAGAAGTCTCCACAAACAGTTTTAAAACACCTGATGATGACCAATGATTGTCAAACATGTAGTGTACAATGTGGTTTTAAATAGGTTTAAAAGACTCATTGTGTATATGTCTTTAAAACGAAGTTTTAAAGGGGTGTTGTTGCATGTAAGATGGAATATCAGAGGTAAGTAAGGTAAAATTATCCTTGCTAACAGCCAGTGAAGGCTCATAGGGTTGGAGAGGTTGAGGCTCCCACATCTTCTAGACAATTGGCTCACAGATGGCAGATAAGGTTGTCAGCCTTATGCGCCGGCCATCCTTTACCTCCCAGGAAGTTTCCTGGTACTCATTTCTGTTAAAGGCTAAGTTGACCCCAGGGCCATTGCGAGGCTGGAAGGATTGGGTAAACTGAAAAAAAATTCACCTCATTGGGACTCGAAACCGCGACCTTCCGGCTTGTAGCATAGTGCCTCAACAAACTACGCTACTGTGTACGCCCCGGAATATTAGAAATATTTGTTAATTAATAAACAATGTGCAACAGGATGCTACAATATAACCTTATGAAGAACTTATTTGTAAATAGAGCATGAAAACATAAACCAACTGGTCGGTGGTGTAATTGTTGAAATACATCGTCTTGTGATTAATGTTTACACCTCATTTCACCGGTTAAGGTACAAAGACTTCAGACACAACATTACTGTAACTTCATAACGCATACTTCACTATCATACTCACAATTATAAAAATTATCTGGAGTCCAGCCACCTTTTTGTACAAATCCATTTCTCTTCCAGCCACGTTCAACATAACCTCCAGCCAAACACTGACATTTAACTGTAAATATTCAATTCTATTCGATATATCGTACATTTGTTGATCCGTTTATCGTACGTTCTGCAGACTAAAAGCACAATTCAGCTACTTAAAGTATATAAAATTAAGATAATTATTGATTTAACATATACTTTCGTAAGATATTTTCAAAATCATATAGTAGTACTGTTCGTTTGTCTCTCTGCACAATGTATTTCCTTTCATTGCAAACATTTCAGACACCGTTGTTCGCACAAGGGAATTGTCAAACACAAACCGCTGGATTCAAAATCGTGAACGGCGGCGGCACAAAGAACACATTCCTGTTCTCATTCCAGATGTAATGACTTGGATTTGAAATATCTGCATCAGTGTTGGAGAACCTGTATTAAAGTCCGATGTATTCAAGCACGAAAGTTCCAAAAACACATCCGAGCCTCATTGCTATTTCATATTCATATATTCGTGCACAGGTATTGGATTGATATTGTATTGCTTGCAAATAAAAGTGATTCATACACTTCTACATACTGAGTGTTTTGTTGGACTGGTTATATCACCACGATTTTGTAATTTGGATGCCCCAGAGTCAATTCAACTTTGAGGTAATGAGCATTTTATTCATTGACAACATATATGCCTTAAAAGCAAATCTCTATTAGACACAAAATACTCCAGTAGGGCATGCCAACAAAATCACAGTACACGCTCTTTCCTCATAGCCAGAGCACTGGGCGAATTCATAATATACAACTAATAAATTATTTGAAAATGTGGCATATATTCTAAATGGAAATAATGTATGGGGAGTATGATATTCAGCGTAACTCTGCAAACCGCAATTCAAGTCCAATATCATTCGACATAAAACTGTTGAATTTTAACTGAACTACACAGGAATGCAATCCATTTCATCACCCCTTGCTCTGACAACCCAAAATATAAAAATTAAGTTTGCAGTGCAGGTTCACTCAGGGCAGTGGCAGAAGAAATCTTAAAATATAAGTTAGATTTAGCAGGAGTACAGGAGGTCAGATGGGATGGAGGTGGCATTGCACCAGCAGGCAAATATATATTTTTCTATGGAAAGGGGAATCAAAATCAGGAATTAGGTACATTCTTCATACATAAGGGAATCGTATCAGCAGTTAAGAGGGTAGAGTTTGTTAGTGATAGCATACCATATATAATACTAAAAGGTCACTGGTGTGATATCATCATTATGAATGTTCACACCCCAACAGAAGATAAAATTGACGACATAAAGTCAGGTTCTATGAAGAACTAGAACATATATTTGATAAATTCCCGAAGTATCCTATGAACATTTTGTTAGATTTCAATGCCAAAGTAGGGAGGGAAGACATTTTCAAACCAACAATTGGGAATGAGAGTTTGCATGAAATTAGTAATGATAATGGAGTTAGAGTAGTAAACTTTGCCATATCGAAAAATCTTACTGTCAAAAGTACAATGTTCCCGCATCATAAATTTACTTGGACTTCTCCTGATGGGAAGATACACAATCAAATCGACCATATTCTGATAAACTGAAGAAGCATAAGCTATGGTTTGATGAAGGATACTCAAAATTACTAGACCCAAGAAACCAAGCCATATTGCAATGGTTACAGGATCCCAGCGAAATAAATAGGGATAATCTAAACAATATAAAATGAAAAACCAGTAGGCATTTCAGGAATAAAAGAGGGAATATCTGAAAGACAAAATCGATGAGTTTGCAATGAACAGTAAGAACAAGAACATTAGAGACCCGTAGAGAGGAATAAATGACTTTAAGAGGAGATACCAAAACCTAGAAGTAACTTGTGATGGATGAGAATGGTGATCTGCTTACAGATTCACACAACATTTTGAAAAGGTGGAAGAACCACTTCTCTCAGTTATTGAATGTACATAAGGTCAGAGATGTTAGACAGACATAAATGCGTACAGCTGAGCCGTTAATACCTGATCCCAGCCCTTTTGAGGTTGAAATTGCTATTGCAAAATTGAAAAGGTATAAATCGCCAGGTAGTGATCAAATTCCAGCAGAAATTGTTCAAGCAGGAGGAAAAATATTATGTTCTAAGATCCATAAGCTAATTACTTCTATTTGGCATAAGGAACAATTGCCTGATCAGTGGAAGGAGTCTATTATTGTACCAGTTCACAAGAAGGGTGATAAAACTGACTCTAGTAATTATCAGGGGATATCGTTGCAATCAACTTCATACAAAATTTTATCCAATATTCTTCTCTCAAGGTTAAGTCCATACATAGTGTTACCGACCCATTTTCTTTCTTTGTAATTATGTGCCAGCTTTAGTAGACCACTGGACTCCTATCAGGATCGTGTTATAGCAATAACTGAGGCAACCAGAAACTGCACACTGAAACCCAGTCCACTACTTGAAATTAACAACACAACTTCCACTGTCCACAAACTGTTTATTTATTCAGAAGCAAAATATTATAACTTCATTTGCAAGTACAGAGTAATATGGCACTTTAATATTATCAGAGTCTTATCAAACCAAAGTGAAGGACTGATGAATTTAGAGAAACATGAGAAGTGCAGTCCAATGATGTCTGCCCCTGATCAATTCAAAACGCCAAGTTTTTTTAAGAATGATATCCTGCAGGAGCATCCTTCATCCCCCAAGGATTTGAATCGACAGCCTCTCTCCCAGACAAGAATTAGTTTCCTATTTGCTGATTTTAACTATCCAAATTCATCATGAAATCAGCACAAGCCAATCACATAACAAACATAAACAGTTCCCAAGATATAGAACCCAGAACCCCACATGTGTGAGCGGTTATTTTCTTTAGTTTAGGGTCCAGCTACACCCTTCTGAAGACACTTTATGACAGCCATATCTGTCAATAAAACAAAATTCACATCTTTGGCAAACTACAGACTTGCCTCCCGTGGTGGCCTTGTCCCCTTCTGGCCACCCAAGCTGCAGGAAACAAAACAAGGCAGTTATTTCTGTCCAGGTGTGAAAAGCAAGTCAACAACATGCTAATAAATTGGTCTCGCCCATAAAAGAGTCACCCTTCTGAAATGGCTAAAGAGGACCATAGTGTCCCATTTGTCAGATATTGGAGAAAAAATGGGAGTACAATGAGACAGTACATCAGCTATTTGTAGACTTCAAGAAAGCCTATGATTCAGTTATGAGGGAAGTATTGAACAATATTCTGATAGAGTTTGGGATACCCATGAAACTAGTTAAGCTGATTAAAATGTGTTTAAACAAAACTTACAGTAAATTCCGAATAGGTACACATTTCTCTGATAAATTTCCTATCCAGAATGGTCTAAGACAAGGAGACGCTTTATCGCCACTACTTTTCAAATCTGCTTTAGAATATGCAATTAGGAAGGTCCAGGAAAACCAGGTGGGACTGAAATTAAAGGGGACACATCAGCTGTTGGTCTATGCTGATGATGTGAATCTACTGGGTGATAATATAGATACCATAAAGAAAAACACAAACTTTAATTGACGCAAGTAAGGAGGTTGGTCTAGAAGTAAACACAGAGAAAACTAAGTATATGTTGCTGTCTTGTCACCAAAATGCAGGGCAAAATCATGACATAACAATACAAAACAGATGTTTTGAAAATGTGGCACAGTTCAGATATTTGGGAACGACGATAACAAATCAAAACCTGCTTCAGGAGGAAATTCTGTATGGGTGTGAAACTTGGTCTCCAACATTAAGGGAGGAACATAGACTGAGGGTGTTTAAGAACAGGGTGTTGAGGAGAATATTTGGACCAAAAAGGCTTGAAGTGGCAGGAGATTGGAGAAAACTGTATAATGAGGATCGTCATAACTTGTACTCTTCTCCAAGTATAATTAGAATGATCAAGTCAGGGAGGATGAGGTGGGTAGGGCATGTAGCACGAAAGAGGGAGAAGAGGAATGCATATAGGATATTGGTGGAAAAGAGAAATTCCTGAAATCGTTAAGTTATTCTGTATTTTTATAATATTTTATTTACGTGTTTTAAAATAATGAGTGGCCATGGTAATAAACAGTGAATCATTTTTCGGTGATAGGTTATACTAAAAGTCTTGGAAGTTTTCTGTGAAAAAATATAATAAACACATGGTTTTTATTTTTATCATTATTATTATTATGAACCAATATATTGTGATATTATATAATTCAGTAATGTGTAAAAATGATCTCAGCCTGATATAGGGATTTCATAGTAGAACACATTAAAGGAAGTGAACATTAATATAAAATAAATGCCAAATAAAAATAATTTAAATAACTGAAACATGATACAACAAATATTTAATATTTAAAAGTTATCCTTAAAAAATAAAGAAAAACACAAAGCATTAATTGTCCTATCTGACAATGTTGCTCTTTGTTTATTGACAAATATTCTAGAAGCAGAAAAATGTATTACATTTTCAGCATTGATACTGATTTTACTCAGGATTCCAAAAAACATACAAATTTCCTGAGATTAGCTGGGAAGGAATTCCCACATGGAAACACCATCTTGCCAATATGTACGGTATTCTCTGTGTTACAAGTATTGTGCAAGTACTGCAGTAGAATTTTGTATAAACGTTTTTTTTCATATTTATTTAATCTGTAACTTAGTTTCACAGTATACGTTGCTAATCCAAACTCCATTAATCTAGCTACCATGTAATGAATGGTCATGCTTGTTCAGTATTTCTTCATGTACCATTTTACAGTATTGTCAGCATCAAGGTGTCAATGGTAGATTTTTTTAATGTCCTAACAATGCAACTAGTCTGGGACTAATGAGCATTTTTATTCTCACTTAGACTACTACTACTAGAACGGTAGAATGACTGATGACTGACAAACTGGAAGAGATTAGAAGTGAATGTGACATGATCAATGCAGTAGTCCGGCATATGCCTGCAGGTACAGATGAGAACTACAAAACCGGACAGGGCATTCAGTATCCTAACTGAGATTTGAACTAGGCACCTCATGAATATGAGTGTAGAGTGTTACTGCTACATCAAGTTCCTTTTTGCCACCTATGCAGTGAACACTTTTTG